GCGTAGGCTCCCCTAGTTCTAATAAATGAAGTATAGATGATTTCTAATTAACAAAACAAATGTGTAGTATCTCTTTTTTAATTCTGTTCTGGGTGAGCTCCGGTAACTTGAATCTCAGGATCTATAAAGCTTTATCGACCAATCAAGTACCTGCATAGTCAACGTAAATTAGCTAAATCGGGGGATTATCCGGGGATAACCGCTTCGATGCTAAAGTTAGCAATTGATGAGAAGAGTAAGAGAAGAGATGAGAAAGTGTTTAGAGAGAGAAAAAGATCGTACCTTAATAATGAATTATGCTTGGGTATTTATAGGAAAACAACCAAGCTGGTGTCATCTATCGACATAAGTGACAATTAGATTTCGTAGGTAGCAGGTGCCTATGTAGTCGAGAGCAGCTCTCCACGTGGCTGTAATTGGGGTATGGAGAGTAAGCTGATAACAGTAATAGTAGAGAAATAACAGCGTAACGTAATTTTATGGACAAAATCATAATGGTGTCGCTATCCCGTACAATTTCTATATTTCATTCTTTCAATGAGTAATCTACCCTCAAGTGCACAAGAATCTGTACTGTATTAGTTATTTCCTAGCAACTTGATCCATTATTTGCATTTAATTAAGCTATGTTTAGTGCATTTATTTTTGTTTATCAAATCTGCTTTATAATTAATTTGATTAGATCCTATTTTATTTCTTTATTCAATTCTAACGCTAGTTTATCTTGAATTTGTGATATCCGATCCAGTTTATGACCTTTATTAGCAAGATATGGATCCAAAAAGACGAAATTCACAAGGAAGAAAAGAAGGATTTCGTAGATTTCTTAAAGTTGTTCGAAGATGAGCTTGGGAACAAGCCTTATTTCGGAGGCAACAATTTTGGATATTTGGACGTCACACTAATTCCATATTATAGCTTGTTTTGCTCATATGAGACATTCACTAAATTGATCATTTCAGCCGAGTGTCCTAAGCTTATTGCATGGGCTAAGAGGTGTACGGAGAAGGACAGCGTGAAAAAGTATGTACCAAATGAGCTCAAAATCTGTGATATAAAGAAGAGACTTGGAACAGATTGACGAGGGCCATACAAACATCATTTTTATTAATATTGTATGTAAAACTGGTGGTTTTTAGTATATATTGATTTTTGCTCATTTTGCCGATCTTTAAAACGCTTTTAGTCCTTTTTTTTTTGTGTGTGTGTGACGTGTTTTTGAAAGCAGTTGTATTAGTTGTGAAACAAATAAGCTTAGACCCTAATCGGTAATTAGTTGTTATCTAGTTGATATAACTGATTGTATCAATTGATTTGACTAGCTAATTATATTAGATTATTTGACTAGCTGTTTGTAAGTAGTTGATTCACTTGATTGTGTAAAATTATTTGGTAAATAGTTGTTTATTGTTAGTTGTTTCAGTGTATTTAGGCCCTATACACTTCATCTTAAAAAAATAATATTCAGTAAAAATAATATCCGTTCAGTAAAGATAATTTCAGTTCAGTAAAAATAAGTTCAGTTGAGCAAAAATAATTAGTTCGGCAAAAATAATTTTAGTTTAATAAAATCATTAACTTTAAACTAGAAATATAATAGGAAATCAGTAAAAAATAATTTCGGTTCAGTAAAAATAATTTAAGTCCAGCAAAATTAATTCTAGTTCAGTAAAAATAATTTCAGTTTAGCAAAATAAAGCGAAGTGAGCGGGGCCTTAATACTAAAAAAACTAATTTTTTTTTATAAGCTAATTTCAAAAAGCTCTTATAAAGAGCTTTTTCTAATTGAGCTTTTCGACCCCAAAAGCTCTTTTAATAAGCTATTTAACAAACACCAAAATTAGCTTCTAAAAATGGTCAAACCAAACGAGGCCTAAGTCTTCTATCTTATGGTTTAGATGTGAGTTGTATCATTTATTTATTTATTTATTTATTTATTTTATTTTTTTTAGAGTTAAGGTTTGTAACTGGGTCAACACCTTTTACTATCAATAGTTATTCCTTCCGTATAACTTGCTCCATTTTTTTGTAGACACGAATTGTAGGAGGAATAGTAGAAAGTATTATTTTATTTTATATGAAAGTGGGTTGGTTGAAAAAAAAACAAAAAATCTAAAATAGTAAGGGGCCGTTTTGTTAAGAAGGGGTAAATGGAATGGAATCAAGAAAGGGATTGAGGGGGAAAGGAAATGATACCCTTTGCTGTAGTATGTTGTTTGGGTTACATAAGTAATTAGTTACATCTTCCACCAACTTCTCAAAAAAACTTCTCCCTCGTATTAATGGAGCACCACCCACTCTATCCTGACACCGCTTTCGGATCCCTTCCCTGTTGTCACCGCCACTTTTCACACCGCCACCTTCACGCTCCCCCTGTAAGGCCCCACAACCGACATTCTCTCTCATCTTATTCCTCCACCATATATTGTAAAATTTAAGGTTTTAAAGGTCACATAAACCCTTAAAAACTCTAGATCTGGAGTTTTATGGGTGTATTTGACCATCTAAAGCCATATTTGATGATAAAAAAAGGTAATTTTTTCACTTATGATTTTTTTAATTTTAAAATTAGTAGTAATAGGGAGGTTGTATGTGGTTTTTTCTGGTGGTGGTGGGGCTTCGGGTGGTTGTGGTGGTTTTGATTAATGGTTGTGGTGGTATCATGGTAGTTTCAAAGTGATTTCATGGAGCATTTGAGTTTTAGGGGCGTTTGAAGGTGGTTGTGATGGTCGCCGGTGGTGGTGACAGCTACGGTGGGGGCGGTTGCCGCAGTGGGAGGTTGCTTGTAGACCAAGTCAGGTGGTGGTGTGTGTTTTAATGGTGGTCAAAGTTGGTTATGGTTGTTGGGGGTAGAGGATTTTGGGGTAATGGGTGATTCCCTTGGGAGGGTTGGGGAATCATAATGGAAGAAAATTGGGTAATTAAAGGGGAAAGGGAATGATTAAATTAGATAAACAAACAACATTAAAGGGAATTATGGCAGTTGATTCCCATTCCGTTTCCTTAAACTCCCCAACCAAACGCCCCCTAAAAGTGAGTATAAGCCATATTCCCTTCACCTTAAAAAAGTAATATTCAATAATAATTTCAATTAAGTAAAAATAATTTCAATTCAGTAGCAATCAGTAAATTTAAAGAAGAAATTTAATAGAGAATCAGTAAAATAATTACAATTCAACAAAAATAATATCAGTTCTGTAAAATAAATTTTAGTTCAGTAAAAATAATTTAAGTTCAACAAAATTAATTTAAGTTCAGCAAAATTAATTACATTTCAGTAAAAATGACAGTTCAACAAAAATAAGGTGAAGTGAACGGAAGCTAAGGCCCTGTTCACTTCACCTAAAAAAAATAATATTCTGTAAAAATAATTTCAGTTCAGCGAAAAAATTGCAGTTCAGTAAATATAATTTCAGTTAGGTAAAAATAAGTTCAGTTCAGTAAAATTAATTTCAGTTTAGTAAAAATCGGTACTTTTAAGAAGAAAATATAACAGAGAATAAGTAAAACTAATTTTAGTTCAGCAAAAATAAAATAAGTCCAGTAAAATTAATTTCAGTTCAGTAAAAATAATTTAAGTTCAGGAAAAATAATTTCAGTTAAGCAAAAATAAGGTGAAGTGAACGGGACCTACGTGGGATATGACCTATCCTTAACTTCACAAATTTGCTTCCAATACCATCTTGGATCCTTTTTAGTAAGGTTGATATAGCATTGTTTCTTTTCATGATTTTTATTTCCCTAACAAACTCGACCTACACAAACTAATTAACTTCAATTCAATCACCTAAAACTCCTTACTGGTCATAGTGTTACATTTAGGCTCCGTTCACTTCACTGTATTTTTGCTAAACTGAAATTATTTTGACTGAACTGAAATTATTTTTGCTGAACTTAAATTAATTTTACTAAAATAATATTAATTTTACTGAACTGAAACTATTTTTGATGAACTGAAATTATTTTTACTGATTTCATGTTATATTTCTTCTTTAAAGTTACTGATTTTTACTGAACTGAACTTATTTACATTGAACTAAACTTATTTTAGCTGAACTGAAATTATTTTTATTGAATTGAATTATTTTTACTGAATATTATTTTTTGTAAGGTGAAATGAACAGGGCCTTATGTATAAATAATGATATTAAAAAAAAAATGAAGGGAGTACAATTTTTTATCATATTTCTTTGTAATCCCAACTACTACATTTAATTTACACCAACTTTATTTAATTTACACCAATTTTTTTTATGTGGCTAGCTGGCCACAAGGTGTAGCCAACTATCATGGCAGTTATTTCGTTAGTGTTGTAGAGGTTATTCGGTTAGTTATACAGGGGTTGTTTCGTCAGTATTATAGGAATTATTCAGTCAGTGTTACAGGGGTTACTCGGTTAATGTTATAAGAGATTTGTTTGTTTTATTATAAGTGGTCACACCATGTGGCCAACCACACACAAAACGCCGAGTTTAATATATATATATATATATTCTTCAACAAATCTATCCTACCTACCTTGTGTATTTCTCCTAAAAATATGTGAGAAACTAGTTTGTCACTTAAAAACGGTGGGAGTATCATACTCCCTCCTTCCCATAAAAATTTGGACAATCAACTTTGACAATCTAGCATTGCTATTATATAAAATAAAATTTAAATCAACACTCGTTATGCTAATAATATATATTAAAATGATCCAACAACTTCTTATATTAACATTTTATTTTATATAATAGTAAAATAAGATGGTCAAAAGTTTATATAATAAAAAAGTCTAGTATATTAATTGTTTTGAAACGGAGAGAGTATTTAATCAGCTAATATGAGTATTGTATTCTTGTAAACTATATATCTTATGCAAAGGATATAATTAGAATATTCCCATGAAAAAAAATACTTCGTCAACACACATCAAACGAAAGCAGTGACATCAAAAATCAAATTCTTAATTAATGCATTTAATGTACAATCCATCTCATGAAACATAATTTAATCTTTGTCCTTTTTACTTAGAAATTAGAGCCATCTACAAAATGCAAATCCAATAACAAAAAGCATTTAATCAGATCAAGACCAACGAATCCTCCAAAATTACGCTACTGTTTGAAAAACTAAGTCCAACTTCCACGAACGAAGGAAAACATAAGTATAGATTATATCGTTTTCTTAATACTTTGAGCATCCACAAATACTAATAACCATGCTGCTAGACGAACTGGTGCTGTTGGATCAGTGGGCTAGCCCATTCGCCTTGAGGGTCAACATTGCACTTCAAGAAAAAGGCATAACAAATTATAAATCCCAACATGAAAATTTGCATGCCAAAAGCTCACTTCTTTTAGAGATGAACCCGGTTCATAAGCAAGTTCCGGTTTTAATACATAATGGAAAACCGATTTGCGAGTCACTCGTAATCTTGGAGTACATTGATGAAGTTTGGAATGACAAGCCTCGTAACTTGTTGCCTGCTGATCCTTATGAGAGGGCTGGAGCTCGGTTTTTGGCTGATTATTTCGATAATACGGTATTTCTAATCTCTTAATCATGTACACATTACTGTTTAAACAACACCACCTTACGTAAGCTTTATTTCAATAAGTAGATAATCACTAGTTAAGTATTATTAAAATAATAATCCCTTGAAGGTTTCTTAACGTTTTTTATTTCTACTTAAACTTAACTAACTTTTATTTATTGTTCATTTGGTTTAATGTTTCATATTATCTTAGTACATGAAAATCAATAAGAAGTAACATAGAGTTTTAGATACAAAGTATTCTCTTTGTTTACTTTTGTTTGTTCCATTAGGAATTTTAAGAGATTCTAGTAGAAATAAAATATAATATTTTAATGATTTTATATATTAAAAAGCATAATCATGTGAGATCGCGTAACATAAAAGTAATATTCCATAATAATTTTCATTTATATACGATGACATTTGAAATATTTAGCCAAGTTTAATTGTTATAACGACTCACTGATTAGAGGGAATATTTTATTCAAAATTTTGTTATATGTGATACATGATATTATAGGGTAGCAACCATAAATAGAGTTTCACATTTATTTAGTGATGGGTTTCTAAATTTATATGATCAAATTTCGTCCAATTCTATTTCTTAGCTACTTGTTTCATTATTATGAGTCTTCAATCACCTTTTTATTTTTCTAATAATGACAGTTTCTCTCAAATTTTTGACATTTAGTTTAGCACCTTTGTTACCAAGATATGGACTCAAAAAGAAGTAATTGAGCATGATGAAAAGAAGGATTTCATAAATTTCCTAATGTTGTTCGAAGAAAAGCTTGCAGACAAGCCTTATTTTGGCGGAAACAATTTTGGATATTTGGACGTCGCACTAATTCCAAATTATGGTTATATTTGCACCTATGGGATGTTCACTAAATTGAACATATCAGTTGAATGTCCAAAACTTAATGCATGGGCTAAGAGATGCATGGAGAGGGATAGTGTGAAAAAGTATGTACCAAATGAGCTCAAAATCAATGAATATGTTCTTGAAATAAGGAAGAGACTCCTTGGAATAAATAGATAGAGGATTGGCATACAAATTAAACTTGAATCCTGATATCATTGTGTGATTGTTTGTATTATATACTATTTTGTATAATTGTATTAGTATTTTGTTTTGTCTTTTTTTTTTTCACCGTCCAAATGAACTGATGATATATATCTGCTTTGTTGTCTTTACTTTGTTTTTAATCCTTTCCTTCGTTTTAATTATATATATAAAAAAAATGTAGGCACCTACAAGGTGTCTTCTCATTTAGCACCTTATGACAAAATTACCATTTTCTTTTGGGGAAATTTGTTATTATTAATCCCAACTTTGGGTCATTTACTTTGATTAATCCCAACTTTCCATTATTATTGAATAATCTCAACTTTGGGGGGCATTGTTTTCTATTAGGTCATGACCAGTCAATAAAAGTCAATGACCTATTGTAACAGGTAACTTGACGCGTGTCAAGCTCTAATTGGTCCAAAAAATAAAATAAAAAAATTAAAAATTACAAAAATTAAAAAAATTGAAAAAATTGAAAAAAAACAAAAACTCCGGCCTCTCTCCTTCCGTTCACTAGACCACCCTAACCCCCACCCTGACCGCCAAGTCTCATCTCCTCTCTCGCCGGCCCACCGTCCCACCCCCACCTCTAGCGTCGCCCCTCCACCTGGCCCTTGTAACCAACCCTTGCGTGCACATAACCATTCCGACTCCCTCCCCCACTCACGAAAACCACCAAACGGTGGTTTTAGTGGCGATTTTAATGAGTGGGGGAGGGAGATTGGGGGTTTTCGTGGCGATTTTCGTGAGTGGGGGAGTGAGATCGGTGGTTTTCATGAGTGGGGGAGGGAAATCGGCGGTTTTCGTGAGTGGGGGAGGGAGATTAGTGTCAAAGAGGATGGTGGGGGTGCGCCTAGGCACCAGTAAAGGGCGGAGATGCGTCTGGAAAACAGTGAATTGAAAGGCGGAGGTGTGCCTGGGCACCAGCGAAGGGTGGAGATGCGTATGGGAACCGATGAAGAGCGGAGGTGCCACCGGGAATCGGCATTGTGGCCAGCCGGTGAGGGCTGGAGGTTGGTAGTGGGGACTTTGGTTTTTGTTTTGTTTTTTTTTAATCTGATTTTTTTTTTGTTTTTCTTTCCTATACTTTTTTGACCAATAATAATAAGACATGTGACATTTAAAAAAAAAAAAATTACCCCTTTATCAGGTCACTAGTCATTTGGCCTAATAAAGGAAAATGCCCCCCAAAGTTGGGATTATTCAATAATAATGAAAAGTTGGGATTAATCAAAGAAAATAAATCAAAGTTGGGATTAATAATAGCAAATTTTCCTTTTCTTTTATGTAAGATGATCCTGCGAACGAGCGATAATGTTGCTAAGGTCCAAATCATCCAAAGTTAACTAAAAGTCCAACCCAAAAAACCAATGTCAAACCTTACATATCTACAAATTTTTGCCTTAACCCAGGAGTAGGCAGAGCTGCCTGCACCCCCACTCCTTTCTGATGAAGTCATCTTGGTTGTTTTTTCAATTTTGAATCACCTATAAAATGTTAATTTTCATCATTGTAAATGTTCACTACTTTATTATTAAATGTTCATTTTTTTGGAATAATTATTAGATGTTCAATTATGCTAATACGACGTGAAATATGCAAATTATTATATTTTTGTACTTGTGTTTTTAGATGACTATTTTCTTTTTATTAATTACTATAGTTGTTAATTAAGTTATAAAAGATTTTGTTTGAAAAATATTTTTCGATATTATACAAAATTAATTCAATTACAATTATAATAACATTCGATATTATTACATACCCATTAGTTCTTAAGCGTACGTAAAAGGGAACATCTTTAACTAGGCAATCAAACAATTTGATTTCCTCAGTCGAACGAAAAGGGAATCTCTTAGAGACAAGGTGTTTAGTGGGAGAAATTGGTCTTTTTAGTCTAGTATGTAGTTGACATTCAGTTGATTTGAAATGATATATCAATGCTTGAATAAGTCAAGCAGTGGTTAGAAAGATTGTTTCAATATGATAGACTTAGGAGATGTTGAGTACATATTGGGAATTAAGATCCATGAAGTGAATCTTGAAGAATGTTTGCAATGAATCAAGAGACTTATGTTGATAAGGATCTTGACAAGTTCATGAAGCAAGACTCTAAGAGAGGATGTCTTCCCATGTTTCATGGTATTACACTCAGTAAAACTTAGTGCCTTCAAAAGCTAATAGAGTTGAGTTGTATGGATAATGTACCTCATGCTTTTGCAAAAGGATCCATTACATGGGCCATGAAATGTACAAAGCAAGATGTTGCATATGACTTGTGCATGTGCAGCAGGTTTCAAGAAAATTCAAAATAAGCATACGGAGAATTACCAAGAACAGATCCTTGAGTACTTGAGAAGCACTAAGAGAAATTCTTCTAGCTATTGTGTTAAATGGTAATTTAAGCAAGTTGTCAAAAGGTTACACGAATGCAAGTTTTCCAAACAAGCAAGATGATTCTAGATGGTGATCTAAATGCATATTTGTCTCTGGATGGAGAAGGACAGTGAGCTTGAAGAGTTCAAAGTAGAGCACTGTTGCATACTCAATGTCGGAATATGTGTAATAAGCTATAGTCAGATAGTTTGAGAGGAAGTTCGGATTAAAATGTCATGTGACTAACAAGTCACCTTTGCCCAAGAACAAAGGAGCCAAAGCCACATCACAAATCCAAACTTATAGATATGAGATATCACCTCAATTATGAGATCATTGACCAGCGGAAGGTCATGTTCTACAAAGTTTTATTTTGAGTGAGAAATCACTAAACCCCTTCCATGGACTAAGGTATGAGAGTCATATTAAAGTCTTAGGATTGAAGCAAGTTATGTAATTTAAGTTTTATATGTTTTGAGAAAGCATATTACATGAGAAATGCATCAATTTGCAGAATTATGTTTAAAATAGAAATTATTATTTCTCTTATTTAATTAGGGTTTTGGAAACTAAATAAAATTTCCAAAATAATTATGAATTGATGGGCTCATCAGGTTGATGACCTGGTGAATTGAAACCCCATGGGTGAACAAAATTCGTATATTATTTAAGTTCCTAGTTCGAGATCATTAAAGCGGACATAAATGATTTCAATAAATGAACTAGCATGTAAGATTGATTGGATAGCGCAGTTTCATGGGCTATAAAGGCATAGTGATGCTCGGTCAATCACTTGGATATGCATGAATGATGCATGATCAAACTATTGACCTAGTTTGAAGTTCAAGTATAGAGCTTCCGTATATATTAGTGGATTCCTTTGACATGAGTGGAACATTGATTTCATTCAATGGATGTTGTGACCGTGGTACACTCAAACGTCTAGCCATAACTAGAGATTATAAAGGGTGTTTCCTGGTTATTTCAGAAGTTGAGTGGGAGTCATGTTACCACAAGATTGGATAGAGTCTACCTATTAAATTAGGAAATGTGTCATGGCCGCTTGAAGAGGGAGAATTCAGAAAATACGTGGCCGCGTTCATATGCATTACACAGTAATCATTTGGTTTTGTAATAACTCAGATTTCAAGAAACGATTTGTAGGTTAATATGATCTCGACATGTGATGCAATCATATTATCAAATCTACACATATATTAACTTAAGGAATTTGAATTTTGCACCCTTGTCTCAGACAAGTAGGAGATTGAAGCAGTTATGTCTTCGTCGTGTGCAATTACTAGATATATAATTGGATCAAATTATGGAGAGATAATTAAGTTCGTACATTTGGGTCGTCGTTTTGCCATGGCTAGTGGTGCTAACGATCTTTGGACTAGTAAAATAGCCCAAAGCCCAATTGGACGGATCCTATAAGGTCACACAAAGGGGCTAGATCGAGCATTAGAGGACGAGGCCCATTGTGGGCCTCATCACTCTAGGTGGCCGGCCATGTAGAGGATTAGACGGAGTTTTGGGCTTCGTGCCCTAGTCTAATTATAATAGGATTATAAATAGACTAGGTGCCTAGGTTTGCAAGTAAGCAATTAATTTATCAGTGTGATCAAACCCTAATTAGCAAACACGAAACCCAACCCCCTCTCAATGTCCTCTCTCTCACACGACTCTCTTCTCCTCCTCACGCCGGTGGTGGTTTGTGGTGGTGGTGGTGGTTCGTGCAGTGGTTGGTTGTCCGCAAAGGTGGTGATCGCGGTTTTCCTCAATCACTCGACCAATCTAGTATTGGTGGATGGCTCGTTCGAATCTCGTGGACTAATTAGAGGAGTAACGCTTGGGGCTCTATTCTCTCCCTGATTTGCCTGTCGAATAGCTTTGTGGAATTCACGCATCAAAGGTATGATTATGTGTCTTGTGTATTATGCATGTGATCTTGGGATTGGTACTTGATTGAATATGATTCATGTTTTTTCCGCTTCATAGTACCTATAAACTCCTACAATCATAGCACCCTAGAGTTGGGTATTTTAATTTAACGAAACTAAGATCGTCATCCAAGAAGTAGAAGTCATGAAATATTTCAAATCCAGGCTTCTTGATTCCTTCTAGAACTAAGGTTTCCGCAAAGTCGTAGCATGGGTAATATTCTCCCTCCCTAATGAATTGTCCATTAAGGGTTTTTTGGTAGGATGGGAGCAAAGTGACTATCCCTTTCTTATTATTGTCTCTACGTGCTTTGTTTTTCGCATCGTGAGACTCCAATTCTTCTTTGGTTGGTTTATATCCCCATCCAAAGGAGAAGCTTTTCTTTGGGATAGGAAGTAAGAGAGATTTCTTCATTCCTATTCCCAAAGGCATCCCAGGAAAGTAACTACTCTTGAGTAAGATGTTGTTTACTATCCGAGTGGAATATTGGTCGGCCCCCTAGGTGTCGTTAGTTCCTAAAGGTCGAGTCAAGAATAAAAAGAAAACCCACGTCCTAAACTAACCAAAGGTAGCATAGTGGAAGAGGGGTCGAATCCTCAGGGAAGGTCAAACGTCTCTTGCTTAGATCACTTATAAGTCAATTGAAAAGGGAGGAATAAATTTTTGATGGATTTATCTATAGCTACTAGGGAAACAAATAAACTAAGAACTAAATTAACAAGCAACAAGCAGAGGTATAAAACTTCGAAAATCAAGGAATAGCAAACACTAGGGGATAGGGGAGAATTCCTAACTAACAAT